ACTACTACTACTACGACTACGACTACGACTACTACTACTACTACTACTACTACTACTACTACTACGACTACTGCTACTCCTACTCCTACTCCTACCCCTACTCCTACCCCTACTCCTACCCCTACTCCTACCCCTACCCCTACTCCTACTCCTACTCCTACTCCTACTCCTACTACTACTACTACTAATAATAATAATACGACGGCGACGACCACGACTACGACTACGACTACGACTACTACTACTACTACTACTACGACGACGACGACGACGACGACTACGACGACTACTACTACTACTACTACTACTACGACGACGACTACGACTACTACCACTACTACGATTATTATTATTATGATTCCTGCTCGTATTATTTACGGCGCCAGTGGCGGCGGCGGCGGCGAGTGTGGCCACCGCACCTCCTGCAACTTGAGGTGTCGAAGAATGTCAAGACCTGTCTCTGTCTGCCAAGGTTTCTGTAGTGTTTTGAGGACGCCCCCAAAGGCAAAGCATTGCTGCTCCCGAAAGCTCTTGAGAGCGTCTCATTCCGACCTCCCCCATCATGTCTACCTGCCTCCTCTCCCATGAAGGTCGTCCTCCAGGGTCGGCGGCACCGGCCGTAAGGCGTCAACAATACGCCGAACATACTCGTTACATATTAAAACATGTTCAAAACATCGCACCCAGACTATATTTGAAATACTTTTGAATCTGCCTCCTGTAGAGGGACAGGCCCGACTTAACTTTAGGTCCTCCAGACGACCATGTGATCCCTGGTCACCGACCGTGCTACTTGAAATTTGTTCGCTTCCGATGGGCAGGGGGGGCGGTGCCAGCGCCGTGCGCGCGTGCCGATACAGAATTGGTGGGGGCGAAGGGGGCGGAGGGGGCGCGCCGGATGGGGGAGGCCAAGGAGAGATGGGCTGGTTAGGGTTGGGTCGGGCATGTCCCCTTACAGGCGGATCTTAAACGAAACATTAAATGGTACTCGAGGAAAACCCCAATCATAATATTTTTAGGGCTGTAGGGTTATGGGGCTATACGGTTATAGGACCATAGGGCTAGGGCTATAGGACTATAGGGCTATAGGGCTATAGGAACATAGGGCTATAGGGCAACAAAGAAGTAAGGCTATAGGCAATAGGGCTGTAGGCCCATAAGGGCTATAGGGTTGTAAGGCGATTGGTCTATAGGGCATAAGGACTATAGGGCTAAATGGCTATTATGGGCTACAGGGCTATTAGGGCTACAGGGCTATAGGGCTATAGGTCTATAGGTCTCTAGGCCTATAGGGATATAGGGCTATAGAACTATAGGGCTATCGGGCGACAGAGCACCCGGGCACCCCGGGGCACGTGGGCACCCTGGGGCACCTCCAGGCACCCCTGGGCACCTCCGGGCCCCCCCGACGTCCATTCCCTGTGCTTTTTCAGGTTTCGTGCGTGTTTTTGTTCGCCAAGAGGTCAAGGATGCTCCTCGATGGTCCTCGCTGAAGGAAAAATGCACACGTCCAAGAGACCCTCGCAAGAAACCCAACCCTGAGATCCCGTGCGCGAGGTGCACAGGAGGGGAAACCTGGAGCACCCTGGACGCAGCAGCTCCTTTAACGGCCGTGGGAAGTCACCGCGCAGCGCGAGGAGCGAAGAAGAAACCCAGCGTACCCTGACGAAAAGCAGATGGTTTCTTCATGCGCGCCCCCACTGTATCCACCGCCTGGGGACCGGCGTCCTGGTGCCCCAGCGGGCGGTGGATGTGGACACATTTCGGCCCCCAAGGGTCCGAATATGTCCATGTCCGACGCCTGCCGAGGCTCCGAAAACTGACCCTCCAGGCGGTGGAGATGGATAAACTCCCGCCTCGGATTGAGGGCACCTCCTGGGATGGTTTCGTGCGAACGACGGGCCTCGGACGAAATTGGCGAGCACTCCTGCCGCATCCGTCTGTGAATGCCCCCACCCCCAGTGATCAGTATTGGCGGTGGGCAGAATGAGCTGCACTTCGACCGCAGTCTTCCACGCGCGTGCCAACTTTGAGTTTGGGGGAGTGGGGGGGAGTGGGGGGAGTGAAGGGCCATGGAGCTGGATCAGGCCGGATTGCGCCCAAGATCCAGTTGGATGAAACGGGACTGTGCCTTAGTAGGCCGGTGTTCGACCGCGGATATACCAGCGCCGATGCGGAATTTAACGTCTCAGGAGGTCCATCCGAATATAGATGATTGGAACGGAGGGGCGGCCATGCATTGGCCTCGAGTGGAGGCTATTCCCTGAGTGCTAAGCGACCAAAGATCACCATTATTTCTGGCTGGGCAACGTTTCGCTGCCATGTTCCGAAGCGGATTTCATTTCGGCCACAGCCTTTGGGCCCTCGTAGCGGATGACGACGAAATCGCCCTTGCTGATCTTGCCCTGCTCAAGGCCCTTCAACATCTCCTCCTCGCTGCCAAAGACAACAGCCTGTGGATTCGGGTGTCTAGCGTCGCAAAACGAAGCCTGTCCTGTCAGCGAACTCCCCGCAATCACATCCGCGAGACATTCAGAATCAGAGCTCCCCCCTGGTGTCGACTCCCCAACGCCCGATGGGCGCGTCAAAGCGTGGCCAAGGAAGACCCCCTGCGGGGGGATAAAAGCCCATGAGGGGTCAATGCAATACACCCCGCGGGGGAAAAAGCAATACCCTTGCGGGGAACTACGATACAACGCACTAGCCCCTGGGGGGGACAGCGAAATCCCCCCCCCTGCAGGGGACAAGTCAATAAAGGAGGCGAAGGACCAAACAGGAATATAACCACCCCACGAACGAACAGTGCGAAATGTATACGCAGGGGCCAGGGAACAGCGCGCTCCAACGGGGACAACACTTGTTTGTTTCGAGGCAGGTCATGCTCAGCGCTCTGGCACTAGCCCGCCGCCCACGTCCTTGCACCGCTAATACAGACAAGCAAGCACGAACGTGCACGCACGGGCGCGCACGCGGACACACACGCACAACGTGTCGGAGAAAAGCGCACGTATATTCAGCCGGCACGCTATGGGGGATACTTTGAAATCGCTCGCGCACGACCCATGCAGCCGCAGGTCGCCCGACGCATCGAGACAACACTGACAAGTCGCAGTCAGGAGACAGCGAAACAGGTGAGGACAGGGAGGCACGGCAATTCAGGGCGCTCCCAGGTCCACGAGCAATCAATAAGCTGGTGTCCCACATCTGAAACCAGCGATCGAACACACATACACACATATACAGACACACGCACGCACGCACGCACACACATACACACACACAACACACGCACAACAACAAACACAACAACACCACCAACATCAACACCACCACCAACAACATCAACAACAACACCAATACCACCACGAACAACAGCACCACCACCACCAACAACAAGGCAAACCAACCGGCTGGTGGACCCGGTGAGGGTCCACCAGCTCGCTGTTTCGCTCCTTGTGGCGAAACATCTCACTGGTGGACCCGGACCCCCCCCCCGGGGCAACGCAACGCAACGCAACGCAACATATGGCTGGCAACAGAAACCAAAGGAAGCCATTGGAAAATCCTCTGGGATTCTTCGTAATCCTTAAGAAAGCCGACGCATTCCCACGAGCTGAAACTATGTGCGCTCCCTCGCGCTGAAACCTTCGGGCATGCTATAGAATCCCTGAGGGATGCTGTAGAATCCCAAAAAGGGAAGGCTGCAGAACCCCTAAGGGATGCGATTGAATCCCTAGGGGATGCGATTGAATCCCTCAGGGATGCTATAGAATCCCTAAGGGCCGCTATAGAATCCCTAAGGGCTGCTACAGAATCCCTAAGGGATGCTATAGGAGGGTGCGACAGAAATCCCTAAGGGATGCTATAGAATCCATAAGAAATGCTACAGAATCCCTAAGGGAAGGCTGCAGAACCCCTAAGGGATGCGACAGGATCCTTAAGGGATGCTATAGAAACCCTACGGGCTGCCATAGAATCCCTACGGGCTGCCATAGAATCCCTGAGGGCTGCCATAGAGCCCCTAAGGGATGCTACATAATCCCTACGTGGATGCTATAGAATCCCTGAGGGGTGCTAAATATTCCCCCAGGGATGCTATACAATCCCTAAGGAGGTGCTCTAGAATCCTTAAGGGGATGCTATAGAATCCCCAGGGGATGCTATGGGATCCCTAAGGGGTGCTAGAGAATCCCTAAGGGGAGTCTGCAGAACCCCTAAGGGATGCTATATAATCCATCAGTGATGTTTGAGAGTCCCTGAGGGATTCCTATAAGATTCCTTAACATGACTCACATAGGATTCGTAAACGCCCTATAGGCTTCCCGCAGGATTCCTATAGGATTCGAAAAGGCCCGATACTTCTCCTATAGGACTCCTATAGGACTCCTATACGATTCGCAGAGGCCCTCTAGAATTCCCATGAGATTTCTACAGGGTTCCTATAGGATTCGTAGGAGGCCCTCTGGTATTCCTATAGGATTCCTATAGGATTCCTAAAAGATTTATCGGAGGCCCTATAGGAGACTTTGAAAAATCAGATCGGGTTCCTATAGGATTCGTGGAGGCCCTATAGGATTCCTATGGGAGTCTCCTATCGGATATGTAAAGGTCCTGTGGGATTCCTACAAATTCCTATAGGAGTCCTATAGGAGTCCTCTAAGATTCGCAGGGGCCCTATAGGGTTCCTATAGCTGTAGGATTCCTATAGTGTTCGTGAAGGCCCTATCGGATTATTATGGGATTCCTATAGGATTCCTATGGGGTTCGTAGAGGCCCTACAGGATTCCTATGGGATTCCTACAGGACTCGGAGAAGCCCTATCGGATTCCTGTAGGATTCCCATAGGATTCGTAAGGGGCCCTATAGGCTTCCCATAGGATTCGCAGAGGCCCTGTAGGATTCTTGTGGGATTCCTGTAGGATTCCTATAAAGGTAAGCGGAGACCCTATAGGATTCCCATAGGACTCCTGAAAGATTCGGGGTAACGTGCGTTGCGTTGCGTTGCGTTGCGTTGCGTTGCGCCGGGGGGGGGGGGGGGGCGGCGTCAGTGAGTAGTTTCGTCAACAAAAACATCAATAGCATTAGCAACAACAGAATCACAGCACACGTGCACCAAACACAAACACATATAGACATATTCACACATATGCATATGTACACTGTACCTGTAGGTGTGTATATATATATATACACATGTATTCGTGTGTGCCAGTACATAGACTCAAGACTGCATGTCAGACTCTCGCCATGCATTTTGGCCCATGAAGCTTGGCGTGCAAGCGGAAGGGCAGCAAGGTAACCATGTTTTGCGATAGTTCCTTGATGCCCTTTCTGGCTTCGTCGCATCCTTCCTTCATGTTTCTTCTTCCTCTTCCACATTCTCGCCTTACCCTGCGAATGTTCCCCCATCCTCATCAGCTCTCTCTGCGGAAACTCCTCCGTGGTGGCCTCGCGAAAGTGCTTCAGAGTTTCTTGGGGCTTTTGGAGGCCTCCTGGGTTCCTTCTGGGAACCTCTGGCGGCTTCCTCGGGCCACCCTGCTTCAAACAATGGGATTAGACATGTTTCGGGGGCGCGCTGGGGCCATCTTGGGCCGTCATGGGGCTCTCTTCGGGCCATCTTGGGACCCTGCTGGGCCGTCTCGGGGCCCTCTTGGATTGTCTGGAAGCCATTTTGGGTAGTTCTCCATTTTCGGATCTCCTGGGTGATCTCGGGCGCCCTGAAGACCGAAGAACGGACCCTTCCAAAACCATGGACAGTTATTGGGAGGGGCAACCGAGGAGTGAGAAGCGCGCTTATCTTCGCCTCATCGACGCTGACACCTAGTCCGCGAGGCTTCAAACGACACCCCCAGGCACTGAAAAACCAAGCGTGCGAAGTGGCTTCGGCGCACGGCGACTCTCGAGAGCGCCCCCGCTAGCTGCTGCCGCGCTGGTCGACAACCCGAACCCCATTTCGTGCTTGCCCAGCCTTTCCAGTGAAGCTCGAGCCCTCCGTGCCGAAGGTCTTCATGACAGAACCATCTGGGCACAAATTGCCTCGTAAGATGTTGATGCGTCCAGAGCTCTGGCTGCACTGCTCCACAGGGCGAATCACATCCTGGGCTGCGAAGTCCAGATCAGGCGCTCCTGCGACGTTCTGTGCAAGCGTTTGACCTGAGCGGGATCAATCACGAATCATTCGGCTACATGCAGGAGTGACCCTGGGTAAGAGTGACCTTTGGTGCGCGACTTGTTGGGGCCGCGGGGGGGCCAAACCTGGGCGCGCAACCAGCTGCTACTGCCTCGTGTTTAGCCATCTGGGGACCCATTTGTGCCCGCACCAAGTCACTCCGGCGAAAGGTCACTCTTACGTCTAGTCGCATCATGAGTGGGACCCGTCTGGTCTATCCTTCTGCTGTGGCAGCACGAGTATGAGAACATTGTGGTTTTATAGTTTGGAAATAGCGACGGCTCAACGCTTATATTGTTTGAAAGTCCGTTGTTGATAAACGTATGATAAGCTTTATAAGTGCGCTGAACTTGAGCTAAACCTCATAAGCCTTAACAAACCCAGGATGCATCTCAGTTCTGCTGTGGCAGCACGAGCTGCGGAGAGGCCCACTCTCGGAGGGCGCGCCGCTGGATGCCCCCAAGCGGGGCGGGGCGTCCGGGACTCCCCCGCCCCTCACCCCCGTGCCCCTGTCCGCCGCAGCCCTGGGTCCCCAACACACCCCGCCTTTCCAAAGGGGTGGAGAGGGGGGGGCTGAACCACTCCCCGCCCCTCTCCTTGTCGACCCGAGAATCGGACGCCCGCCCCCTCCCCCCGCTTTGGCCACGCCGCCCCCTGAGCTCTGGAACCCAGGCCCCTGACCCAACCGCCCTCAACCTCACCCTAACACCTGGAGACCCCAACCTTACCACCCTAACCCTGACACCCTAAGCCTAACACTAACACCCAAACCCGAACACCTACACCCTAACACCCTGACACCCTAACCCCGGCACACTAATCCTAACACCCTAAGCCTAATCCAATCGCCCTGAGCCGTAAGCCTAACCCTAACACACCAACCCGAAATCTATCGCCCTAACCCTAACACCCGAACCCTAACCCCTGCCCCTACCTAGCCCTAACACCCTACTCTGGACCCTATCGCCCTAAGCGTAAAACCCTGTCCCACACACCAACACCTTTTAAGCCGAACACACTAACACCCAGACCCTAACCCTTAAGCTCTAACCCTAAACCCTGAGGTTTAAACCCTCAACCGTGGGCTCCATTCCTTAAACCCTAAGCCGTAAACAATGAGCCTTAAGCTCTGACACCCTGATCACATGGTTTCAGCCCTCAACCCTAAGCCCGAAGGCTCAAGCCCAAAGTCCCAAGCTCTAAGCCCTAAGGTGTAAGCCCTAGTCTCGGCTGGGTGTGCGTGCTCCCCAACTCCGCCGTGCTCCCCAAGAACCCATGAAAATAGCCACGGTTGCACGATTCGCAGTCCCCCAGGGAGCGGCGAGGTCCGGTTGGGTGCGCGTACTCCCCTACGCTGCCGTGCCTCCCAGGAGCCAACGAAAGTGGCGACAATAGCACAGTTCGCAGTCCCCCCCAGGGAGCTGCGAGGTCCCAGCTGGGGCGCGTCCTCCCCTACTCCGCAGTGCCTCCCAGGAGCACTGCGAAATTGACGACAGCTGTGCAAATCGCAGTCCCCCCGGGAGCTGCGAGGTCTCGGATGGGTGCGTCTACTCCGCTGAACCTCCCAGGAGCTCACGAAACCGGCGACGATAACTCAATTCGCAACCACCAAAAGAGTTGCGAGGACTCGGCTTGGCATGCATACTCTGGTACTTCGCTGGACCTCCCAGGAGCCAACGAGAACGGCGGCAGTTGCGCAATTCGCAGTCCCCCAAAGAGTTGCGAGGTCACGGATGCGTGTGCTTATTCCTCCTACTGCGCAGTGCCTCCCAGGAGCCCACGAAAGTGGCGACGATTGTGCAGTTCGCAAGCCCCCAGGGAGCTGCGAGGTCTCGGCTAGGTGCATATACTCCCCTACTCCGCCATCATGCGTTCCAGGAGCCCACGAAAATTGCGACAATTGCACAACTCGCACCCCCCCCAACGATCTGCGAGGTCCCGGGTGGGTGCGCATACTCCCCTTCTCCGCCGTGCATCCCGGAAACCCACGGTAGTAGCCCAATGGTCAGTTCGCAACCACCCAGGAAGCTGCGAGGACTCCGCTTGGCGTGCATACTTCGCTACTTCGCTGGACCTCCCAGGAGCCCACGAAAGTGGCGACAGTTCCGCAGGTTGCAGCCACCCATGAGGTAGCGCAGGAGGAGGCAGAAGGAGGAGGAGGGAGGCAAAAGAGAAGAAATGGAAACCACAATGCTCTATTCAACACGACAACCCAACACAGGAGAGTTGGAACAACTAATATGCGGTGACTACTGGCTGCTGCTACCATCGCCTTCTCAAGCCTTCAGCCCTCACGATCCTATGATGGCAATATGCTGTTCTGCACATCCCCGATCTAAACCAAACGCCCAAGGGACATTCCAGCATGTCAGCTGGGGCACTGAGATCGAGCGGGCTCCGAAACTTTCAGGGGGGTCCTTCGTGCCGCGCGGGCGCGCTGGCAGAGTGGCGGGGCTTGCCGCAGGCATCTGGATCTGCCGCGTGAGCAGTGAGCATACCTGCTCGAATATACATGCGGAACGTATGTGCTCACATTCTCCACTGGACAATTGGCCTGGTGCCCAAGTGCGCCAACTTCCGCAAAGGCGCCCAAGCAACACAACAACACCAGCACGTACGAACAACCCGTAACAGCGTTCGTTACAAGAAAGCAGTGTCCCACGACTACCCGATTTGCAACAATCCTAGCGACCTGTGCAAGTTATACAGTCACCGTGCAGCAGCCCGAGTTTCAACAAATACTTCATGATCGCAGGGAGTCCACCGATTTTCTGGATGTCCTCGAGGCGATACTTCCCGTGTGGCTTGAGGTCTGCTATTACAGCGACCTTGCCACTCAAGCGCTGAAAATCGTCCAGGGACAGATCCACCTCTGCCGATACCGCCAAGGCCAGAAGGTGCAAAACCACGTTCGTGGAGCCTCCGAGCGCGTTGACTACGACAATCGCATTCTCGAAGGCAAGCTTCGTCAGAACGTCCAGCGGCTTGAGGTCTCGCTCCAGCAGGTGGTGCATCGCCTTGGCCGTGCGCTTGCACTCGGCGAGCTTCTCCTCCGAGGCGGCCGGCGCACACGAGCTGCCTGGCAGTGCCAGCCCGAGAGCCTCGACGGCGCAAGCCATGGTGCTCGCCGTGAGCATGCCTCCGTAGCAGCCTGGGCCTGGGCAGGCGGTCTTCACGACGTCGGCCCGCGCGGCCTCGTCCATCCTGCCGGCCGCAAAGCTCTGGTACGCCTCGGCCGCGGAGGTCAAGTCCACGACGTCTCCGGCCGCCGACTTGCCAGACGGCGCGAAGCCACCACACACCATGATGGAAGGCCTGTTCATTCGAATCATGGCCAAGGCGCATCCAGCGTGGCCGTTGCAGCCAGGAATTGCGACCAGGCCGTCGTAGAACTGGGCCCCCAGGGTTGTCTGGATGCTGTCGGCGACGAGCTCGCGCGCTGGCAACGAATAAGCACTCCCGTTGGGGGTCATGGTCAATTGGTCGGAGCCGCCAACGGTGCTGAAAATGAACCCGTACAGAGAAGGGTCCTTGGCATCTAGCTGACTTAGGGGGAAGAAAAAATGGATTAACATTGTCACATGGGGAACACTCCGGGTCTCTGAAAACATCGCCCCCATGAAGAATCCCACGGGCGGAGGCAGAAACGAACGCTTCCTCTTGCAACGTCCGGGACAGGTCTGTACTGCTCGTCATGAACTATCATTAAGTCGGGCCTGTCCCCCTACAGGGGGATTTTCGACGAAAAATTACAAATACCCCAAAAATAATGCAAAAATAGTGCAAACATCGTCTGGGGACTATTTGTTGAGTCTTATTTTGCCTTTCTGGGGTATTTTTAGGGTATGTTTTTCATTTTTCGATGAAAATCCCCCTGTAGGGGACACGCCCGACGGAAAACTATCGCCCCCTCCCCTAACTCCTCGACGGGCCGCCGACCAGGAGCAATCTGCCCCCCAAACCATCCCTATCAACAATCACTACAGAGTGCACGCGGCGGCAAGCCATGGATCATCAACGGGCACCCCGCCATCACTCTGCACATGTTTTTAACGGGATCACACATGACTTCTGTAAGCAAGCCCACTGTGCGTATCCGCCGACCCCTCGGGGTCATCGGCGTGTGAAATGCTTCCCCCTCCTCAAACCCCTCACCCCAGGGCCGGGTCCGGTGGGTTTGGAGGGGGGGGTCCGGCCGGCCCCGGCTGAACGCGTCACGGGCCTCACGACGGGTCATGAGGGCCCCAAGAGGCCCACAAGATGGTCCAAGAGGGCCCCGAGTCGCCGATAGATTTCTCCAAGACGCCCAAGATGGCCCCCAGACGGCCCAAGAGGCCCCCGAGACGCCCCAAGAGGCCCCCAAGAGGCGCCCCAAGAGGGCCCCCAGAAGCAAAAATCGCCCCATTCCCTTGGGGAAACGTATGATTTTAGCACATTCGCCTCTTGGGCTTTCACAACGTCCAAGACGGCCTAAGAGGCCTCCAAGATCGCCCCAGCACGGCCCAGGAAGCCCCCAAGATGGCTCCAAGACGGCCCAAGAGCGCCCCAAGACGGCCCAAGAGGCCCCCAAGACGGCTCCAGGAGGATGCCCAGGCAGGGGACCCGAACGGAAATTTCGAGCCCTCGGCCCCAAGAAGCTTCCAGAACGCCCGAAGAGGCCCCCAAGAGGCTCCAAGAGGCCCACCAGAGGCCTAAAAGAGGCCTCAAAACGGTCCCCCAAAAGCCTCAAAGGTGTTGCCAGGAGGCCCCCGACAGACCTACCAGGAGCCCCCCAAGGGCTCGGCTGTGCGGCGGAAGCCCAAGAATCAAAAAGTCAAAGAAAGCTGATCCCGGATGCAGACACAAAGCACGTACCATGCTGACCATCCAGCCGCCACTTCGAAGTAGTTTTCAACAGGGATGGTGGGGCTGTCAGCACATTACCACACGTGCGCTGTCAGGCGCCCTGGCGCACCGCCACCGCCCGGCGCACTCTTCGCACGTCGCGCACCTGACTTCTGCAGTGGTTTCCGATTGCTCTGTCCATCCGATGGCGACCTCTGCCTGTGCTGAGTCTCGGGTGTTACGATCATGGTAAGATAGTGGAACGAAGAATGGCAAAAACATAGAAAAACTCTGAGGTCCGCGCTGATTTCTCGGATCGGCGCTGACCCCCCTCCCTGGCGCGCGGAGCGCGCCTGGGGCGGTCCTGGAGGCGCCGCCTGGGGGGGGGGTCCAGCGACGATCCGAGAAATCCGCGCGGACCTCAGGGTTTTTATGTTTATGTCATTCGTCGTTCGCCTATAAGAGGAAGGGCGGGTGGGAATGCGCAAAACAACTTGTGACGTTCGCGCTGGGAACTTGACCGCTGCTCCCAATGAACGAACACCCCCTCTCTCGCCTGACTAGATACCTACCTACCAAGACCACCCCGACCTAACCCGAAGACGCGAACTTCGGGTTGGGGGAAATACAGGTTCCAGATGTGCTTTCTCAATGTTCCCCGATCCCCACCAACTGCAAATCGATGGCAGAGTTGGGCCTTCGGATTGGGTGGGGGTGACTCGGTGGGCGGTGACCGCCCGACTGGCAGGAGCGTGTTTCTTGGTTTTCGACGATAATGGGCATCACAGGGCAGGACTCAGTACCCAGGATGTTTAAGACCTAATAGGAATTGCAATACATGATTAATGTATGAATAAATTAGTGCATCAATTCATACTTGCATTTATTAATCGACCCTTTATTCTTAAATACATGGTCCGCGCGCGGAGCATGTACTACAACCGGCGCTGTATAGGGGGGAGGGACATGGGGGGGGGTATGATGTAACGCCTCCACCCCGCCGTGCGCACGGCGGCAGTGCCGGGAGCGCACTGGGGGGGAGGGGCGTTACGTTATTCGGGGGGGGGGAGGGGGGGCCGGGGGCTATCATACCCACTACGCCCCAAACAGCAAAGAAACACGCTCCAGCCAGCCCCAGACTATAGTCCCCAGACTATTGTTTGAACCATGTTGTTGACTATTGTTTGGGTATTTTGTATTTTTCGTCAAAAATCCCCATCTAGGGGGACAGGCCCGACTTAACACTGTGCCCCAAACAACAGCAACAACAACAACAACAACAACAACAACAACAACAACAACAACAACAACAACAACAACAACAACACCACCACCACCACCAACAACAACAACAACACCAACAACAACAACAACAACAACAACAACAACAACAACAACAACAAAACACGCTCCAGCCAGCCCGGACCCGCGCGCACCCCACTTCCCACCACCCCTGCGCGGCAAGGGGAGCACGGGGGCAAGATCGACCGGGGCGGGCCCTCTCGGAAGGCTCGGAAGGCCGCGGGCCTTCCGAGCAACCTTCTGGGCCCTCCGCGAAGGCACCGAAAACCTGTGGGAAGGCCGGGGGAGCTTCTGAGAAGCCCCACCGCCTTCTGAGGAGGAGGAAGAGGTGGAGAAGGAGGCCGAGGAGGAGGAGGAGGAGGAGGAGGAGGAGGAGGAGTAGGACGAGGAGGACGAGGAGGAGGAAGAGGAGGAGGACGAGGGGAGGAGGGGGAGGGGGACCCTCCTCCCCGGCGCGCCGCCGACCTGTCCAGGAGCACACCTCCCGGGTGCACTCTGCGGCAGAGCCTGGGGTCATGCTCGGGGGCCCCACGCGGAGCACCCGGCCTGGATGTGTGAGGGGGGCGGCGGGGGTGCCAGCACAGGGCCTGCTGCGCTGAAGGGGCCCCAGGACACACAAATAAATACACACAAATAAAAGGATTCCCCTTATTTTCCAAATATTTTCTAGGTTTCTGTCTTCCCCCCCACTTCCCATCTTTTCCCATATTTTCCTGGGGATCGTCGATTAATTGTGTCTGTGTGTTTTTCCCCCTCCTGACACCACTCCTGCCAAACAGCGATGCAAACTGCACGTCGCGGCCAACTCTGGTCGTGCTCCTGCTCGGGCACCCCGCGATCACGCTGCACTGGCCTGGAGACAGGGACCGGCAGGGGTGCTGGCGCGCCGCCTGCCGTGTGCAGGCGCACCAGGCATCATGATGGCCACTCCGCCGCGATTGTCAGGGGGTCCTGGGAGTCGACGATGACTTGTGCCTGCGTGATTCTTCCCGTTCTGGAATGATTGGTCACTGGCTCTCGAGAAGGATGGTGGAGGCCGGCACGTCTCCCGAGGTAGGCCGGCCCGCTTGGCACACACTGCGCGCGCCACGAACAACGTGGCGCACCTGACGCGGCCGGAGCCTGCGACACACTTCGCGCACGCGGCACACCCGGCACAGCAGGCGTGCCTGGCGCGCTGGGGCCTCAGGTGCGCCCGACGCGCCTGGTGCGCCCGGCGCGCCTGGTGCGCCCGGCGCGCCTGGCGCGCGCGGCGCGCCCGGCGCGCGTGGCTCGCACGGCGCGCCCGGCTCGCGTGGCGCACCTCGTCCCAGCGTCGCGCACCTTTCGAGTAGGGACCAACTGCAGAATGGATTTGACCCGAAATTTGTTTTGTCGCCTCGTGGAGTGCTACGTTTTCCTTCGGCGATTCGATAAAAAACGTTTGGGGTAAATAAGCTCTGCGTTTGATCTCCTACCCGAACCTTGGGGTCTGTACTGGTTCCTAGTAGGTGTGCATCCAAAGACGAGCGCTGAATCCGCGGGCCCCCTTTCGGCAGGACCATAAGGGGTATTAAAACCGTAGGGGTACCAAAACCGAGTGGGGTGGGGCGACAAAACACACATGTTTATCAGAGCGCAAATGATAACTTTGACCTGATCCAATGTGGCCCCCTCGCGCGCCCATGTCTACATCCGTCTCGCCCGTGTGCGTGCGCATTGGCTTCTCACTTTGAGCCCCGCCCTCGCTTGAAAGCCTTCCCTCCCCTCTCCCCCTCCGTCTCGCTATCCTTTTCCCAATCCCTCACCCTCTCCCTCTCTCCCTCTCTCTATGTATATAATTTTCTTTCTCTCTCTCTCTCTCTCTCTATATATATATATACGTATGCAAATGTACACGTATACGTATCATTTTCTCTCTCTCCAGGAGGGGTCCCAAGACTCGATCTGAGCGTGGCCGCCAAAAGCAAAGCCGGTCCCAGGGAGAGCTGCGGGGGCCAGCGGTGGCGACTGACGCGCAGTGCCGCGCTCTCGTTTGGGGCCGCGTGCCCCCCGCAACCAGGGGAGCGAAGACTCTCGCGCTTCGCGGCCCAGGCTGGAGAGACGCCCTTCCCCAGCGGAGCGTCGGCGCGCAAAGATAATCGCGCGGCGACCGGCGCATAATTAGGTGACCTTGAAGGTTTGGCGCTCATATTTTTGTTGTATATGCTCAATATTCGGAAGTTCTTCCTCGAACTCAGCCTCCAGGGGCCGTTGGGGGCCCTCATGCCACTCTTGCGCCCCTCTGAGGGTTCTCTTTCTTGGGCCATCTTGGGGCCATCTTGAGGCCGCAAAAGCCAATCGGAAGCGAAAAATCGAAAAGGCAAACGGAAACATTGATTTCCTTTGGGTTGTTCAAGGATTGTGGCTTCCTGCGGGGTCCTTG